GTTTTCAATTTCATTGATTGATATTGGGTTGTTTAGAATTTTTAGGTTTTCTTCATTCAAATTTGGTAATTCATAGGTATCTAGGAATTTGTCCATTTCTTCTGTGTTTTCCATCTTATTGGCGTATAGTTCTTGAAGTAGATATTGATGATGCTCTGGATTTCTGCTGGGTCTGTTGTAATTTCATCCTTTTCATTCCTAATTGCATTGATTTTGGCTTTTTCTTTCCTTTTTCTGATAAGGTTGGCCAAGAGTTTGTCAATTTTGTTGATTCTTTCAAAGAACCATCTCTTGGCTTCATTAATTTTTTTTGTATCATTCTCTTAGTCTCCATTGCATTGATTTCTGCTCTGATCGTTATAATTTCCTCCCTTGCATGAGTTTTGGGTTTGCCCTGCTCTTCTTTTTCTAGAAGCTTGAGGTTCAGCATCAATTTGTTTAATTGTGCTTGCTCTGTTTTCCTAATATGTGTATTCACTGCTATGAATTTCCCTCGTAAGACTGCTTTCATTGTGTCCCATAGATTCTGATATGTTGTATAGTCATTGTCATTTATTTGAAGGAACTGTCTGACTTCTTCTTTAATTTCCTCTGTGACCCATTAGTCATTCAGAAGTGTGTCGCTCAATTTCCATGTGTTTATGAAATTTTTCCAGTTTCTTTTGCTATGGATCTCCAATTTGACCACAGTATGGTTTGATAATATACAGGTGATAACTTCATTTCCTTTGCACTTACTTAAGCATGTTCTATGAGCAAGTATGTGGTCTATATTTTGGAGAATGAACCATATGGAGCTGAAAAGAATGTGTGTTCTGATTTTGTGGGGTGGAACACTCTGTAAACATCTGTTAAGTTCATTTGTTCAAGAGTTCAGATGAGTTCTAGTATTTCATTGCTTATTTTTTGTTTAGTTGATCTATCTATTTGTGACATTGGGGTATTGAGATCCCCACTACTATTTTGTTATTGTGTATATGATTTTTGATTTTTCATGTCTGTTAGTATTTGTTTTACATAGTTCGGTGCACTAGTGTTTGGTGCATAGATGTTTATGATTGTCATCCCTTTATCTTGGATTGTTCCCTATACAAAGATTAGTGTCCTTCTTTGTCTCTCTTAATCAGTGTTGGTTTGAAATCCACTTGATCTGCAAAGAGGATAGCAACTCCTGATTTTTTTCAGGTTCTTGTTGCATGGAGTATTGTTTTCCACCCCTTAACTTTCAGTCTATGAGTTTCTTTTTGAATTAAGTGTGTTTCTTGTATGCAGCATATTGTTGGACCTTGCTTTCTCACCCATTCTGCCAGTCTATTTCTTTTGATTGGTGAATTGACGCCATTTACATTGATGGTTATAACTGATACATATTGACTTATCATTGTCATGACTTTTTCATTTTGTTGGATTCTCCCCCTTTGCATTTAATTTCTTGTCATGCCTGATGGATTCATTCTGCTGGGCTTCCTGGGGTTGTGATCCTTATTGTCCTTTCCTAGGATATTGTTTAAACATTTTTGGAGTACTGGTTTGGTATTCATGAAGTTCCTAAGGTGCTCTTTGTCATGAAAGTATCTTATTTCTCCATCTATTTTGCAAGATAGTTTTGCAGGGAACATCAATCTGGGTTGGAGGCTGTTTTCCTTTAGGGCTTCCAGTATGTCACTCCATGCTGTTCTTGCCTTGAGGGTTTGTGTTGAGACGTCTGCTGGGATTGTGATGGGCTGGAAATCACATCTTATGTGATTTGTTTCTTTTCTCTAACTGCTTGTAGAATTTTTTTGTTTTGTTGGCTTTCTGGAATCTTCACTATTACATGCTTATGTTTACATTTTTTTTGATCATGGGTAGTTGGAATCCTGTGTGCCTCAGTAATCTGTATGTCAAGTTCTTTTCCCCTACTTGGGAAGTTTTCTACCATTACTTCTGTGAACAATTATTTTATGTCATCTGCACTATCTCCTGTTTCTTCATTGACTCTGACCAGTCTTAAATTATTCTTCTTTGCATTGTCTAGCAGCTGCTGGATTGATTTCTTGTGGTCCCTTACTATTTTTAAGAAAATTTTTTTTTCCTGGTTACTAAGTGCAATGCTATATTTTATATCTGAAATTCTGTCCTCACATTGTCTCACTGTGCTGCATAAACTTTCAATGGAGCTTTTAATCTCCTGGAAATCTGTTTGCATCTATTTTATGGATTCTATTTGTTTTCTATGTTGGGATTCCATCACATTCCTCAGCTCCTCTATTTTGTTTTTCTCTGTGTGCTCCAGATTTATTAATCATATCTTGCACTATGGGGACAATCTCTGCTGTTATCTGAGAAATGATTTCTGATTTCATTTCTTCCAGATCCTATTTTGTTGCCAGTTCAGGGAGTCCAGATGGTTGAGTATCAGAGTGTTCCATCTTGTTTACCTTTGGGGTTGCTATAGGTGATCTGGAAGTCTGGTTTTGAGGCTTGTTTACATGTTTTCTCATTTCGATCCGGGGTAGGGGGAGTGCTGCTGGAGCCCACTCGGCTCACCTCCTCTGTGCTGGGAGCGGTGCCCTGGCAACCCAGAAGCCTCCTCCTCTGTGTTGGGAGCAGTGGTAAGGTGACCTGGAACCCTCCTCCTCTGTGTGCTTGTCTTTTTGACAGTGCTATCTGCAATGGACACAGAGAATTATGTTTTTTAGCATATTGCAATCTCTTATTGTACATAGGTCAGTTACATAAGACAATGAATAGGATGAATATTAGATAAACACTTGTCTATGGTTAGAAACATTGATGATTTTACCATTCATCTCTCCATCAAACTAGAGATCAAGTGATTACATGAGATCTTTCTGCCTTCCTCATTGTGCATATCCAAGGTTAGTTCATTATAACTTTTAAGCATCTTTCATCTTTAAAACTACTTTTTTCTTTAAAGTTTATTGCCTAAAAAAGTTCAAGACACACACTATGTTGTAAATATTCATGGAATTCTGATTCAATAGATGTTTTTCATTCAATGGGGGAAGTTATCTTGGTGAACTTTAAACTGGGACCTTCAAATAATATTCAAAGCATATTCCTATTATAGTGTAAAACATATTTCCTGGTGTATAAAGCATTTCCCTATTCTTTACCACTAGTGGCATTTGAATTACTTATTCAACTTCAATAATATGAACACACTACCTTCTCTAATATTTAATTTTTCTTAATTGTACAACATTGTCTATTAGTGGCTTCTACCTCTTACACTTTCCTCTATGGGATGCCCCTCTGAGCATGTATATGAGCGCGCACACACACACACACACACACACACACACACACACAGAGTAATGGCCTCAAAAATCCTCTTCCTTAGTAAGTCAAAATGTCAAATAACTCAATGGCAGGTATGAAAACCTATAAGCCTGTTCCTGCTGAGCCACCTGCTGAATATTCCACATGCCAGGTGCTAATTTTGGGAGAAAAAGAGGAAAGTTAAAAAATGTATTCTGCTTTCACTGCTCTGCAAGAGCCTACTTTTCTTTTCTTCTCAAGCAGCTGCAGCAGAAGCTTACATGAATATGAACTGCAAGTGGTACTAGAAACAAGGCATAATTTAGACGACTTAAATAAATAAACCTATTGGGTTAAGCATATTGTTCCGGAGAGAATAAACAGTGTGGCTGGGCTTGGATTGATGAAATTCACTGGAATAGAGCGGGGATGACAAATTGGAATAAAATATTTGGCAGTTGCATTTTGTGCTGGGACAAATGACCAAATTACTTTAAATTCATTTCCTGCAGCTGCTGACTGGCTGGCCAGGTCTACATCCTACCCATTGTAGCCTAGTAACATTTCTTGACTTTGACAGGTTTCCCCCTATTTGATTAGATATTTTATGAAACAATGTACATTGCAGATCATTTTCAAAATGTTGTTGTTTCTCTGATCCCTGATATTCTGGTATAAATGAAGAGCTCTGGGAGGTCTGCACATGCTCGGAGAACGTATTGTTTTGGCAAGCTTGGGAAAAGAGCATTTGCCAGCAGTCTTCAGACTGGAGCTTTAATAGTAGTCATACTGCAAGCACTATTTCATCTTTTAATTGTTCCTTGGTAGCTCTAAATATTTCATTTGCACAAACAATTTCTTTTATCACAGCAACATTGGGGTGGGTAGTGGGAGCAAATGGACAAAGCAGAGTGTTGAATATCTTGTTGGATGTGAAAGCCATACTTTGATTCATTTGGTTTTTCAAACTAAAGTTTCACACAAAGTTGAAGTCATTTTAACATGAATATGATTCTATATAATAAATTCAACATGCAGAAATTCAGGTATCCAGAAGGAAGTCATGAAACAAGGAACCGATTAGATATGGAAGGTTGAAGGTTGATAACTCATTCTGGAAATACTAAGGCCTCCTGAGCTGGGTCAGCAACTGTGCCCCACCCCAACCCCATTTCCTTTCTTGTTTCCCTGAGTTTGTTTACTGCACCTTTCCCCCGCTTTTCTTCTTAAATCAGTGCCTCTGTGATGTTTCCTCTTCTCCTACCATTTCTATTTTTTCATTCTAAAACCTAGAGGTTTCCATCATCACTGGTGCTCAATGTAAATGTAACCAAGGTACTTTGCCTTTTAATTTGGGGATTATTGAGGAGAATTATTATGTGATCAGAAATAATACGTGGAACTTAGTTTTTCCTTCATTCTTAAATCTGATTTTATGATTGAAGACAGAAGTCCTGAAGTGCTACTTTTCCCCATGAAAATAGTTATTTTATTAAGAGAAAATAGAAATTTAAATAAGGGGAGCCCCCAACCCAGCCTTAAACTACAATTGTGCAAAGGTGTAACTCTGTCAATGCCTCCTCTCTTGCCTCACACAGTGCTGTGTGATCTGGGGCTAGTTATTTAACTTCTCTTGTCCTCAACTCTATTTTCTGTGAAATGTAGATAATAATAGTACCTACCACTATGACACTTATCAAGATTAGAAGAGTTAATAGGACACACATGTATAAATACCAAATAGTTTCTCTAGTGTGAGAAACTAAGGATTAAAAGGTATGATAGATAAAAAAAAATAGGAAATGAAATAGGAAGAAAAGGGGCAAAGGGAAAGGGGAAGTGAGAGGAGTAGGGGAAAGTTAAGGGAATGGAATTAATATGAGAAAATGGAAAAATGGAAACAAAGTCTTTGTAAATAGGGAGGGACGGAGGGGTTGAAGGGAGGGCAGGGGGAGGGGAACAAGTAAGAACCAAGAGAGATTGTATAAAGGTGCAAAATTCCAATGATGAATGTCATTATATTGTATACCTAAAATGTACCAATGATTAGAATGAATAATTGATAATGTGAAATAGGAAGAAAACGTCCAAAGGGGTAAAGGAAGTGGGAGGGGCAGGGGAAAGGAAAGAAGGGAAAGGAAAAATGATGAGAAATGGAAAAAATGGGAAAAAAGTTTTTGTAAATAGTGAAGGGTGGAGGGCGTGAAGGGAGGGCTGTGAATGGGGAAACAATAAGAACCAAGATGAGTCATGTAAAGGTACAAGTTCCCAATGAGAAATGTAAATGTATTGTATACCTAAAATGTACCAATAAAAGAATTTTTAAAAAAGATTAAAAGTGTTAATGCTTACAAAGTGCCTCAAAACATACTTGGTACAGAGTAAAGTTTCGAAAATATTTAGCTACGTTTATTGTATAAATAAATATACCTTTTCCTATCATTTTTCTTTCTCCTTTCCACATCCATTTCTGAGGGAATAGATCACTTCTAAGCATGCTAGGAGAATAAGACATGTGCTATGGAACTGTTGTCATACACTAAACATTTTTATACTTTGAAAATGTTTAAATCTTCAAGAAAGAGAAGTCCAACAAGATTGCAACATTGCACAACTCCCTCAGATGCCATTGACCTTGTAGTCTGAGTGAATGCTAATCCTAAAATTTTGCAATGGACAATCTATGCAGACATACATGGCAGGTCCTCTCTGTTTTCATTTTCACACATGGTTACATAAATATACTCATTAGATGACATACACACATTCAAGATTACCATATTGATTCCTTCATACAAGTCCTTTGTTTTCTGTCCAAAGATGTTAGCATCCAACTGTGAATTGTGTTTGTATGCCTAAAAGCTTATATTCACACAAATATGTATTAACAGTGATAGACACATGGAAGAAATAAAAAATAAATTACATTTGCCAGGATTGAAAATACTCATGATTTATAAGCAGGGTTACGTTTTCTTACTTTTGTGAGATGGTTACAACTGGATCAAACCAAAGAAGTGAACTAGAACCAAAACATAAATAATGACCTCTTAAGTGATAGCAGCCAATGTGAGATTTCCTACCACTAACCAAGGTATGGACAAGCTGGGATAGGGTGTCGGTCAACATCTCTCAGTGATGTCTATAGCTGCTTTCTGTCATATGTGGGCAGATACTCCCAGTTATCTAAATCAATATAATATTTCTTATTATAAACAAAATGCTTAATCTAGTTAGTTCTTGACACATGGAAGGACTATTCTCTGCTGAACTACTTCAAGAAATATCCTTTGAACTTTGAATACTGTGATAGTTTTATTTTAATACCATTTATGACCAGTAACATAACTGCTCATAGGTAATGCTGGATTTCTGTGAAATCCTCACTGCCATTTAAGCAACACAGGTATTTCCTTTATTCATAAAGAGTTAATCTCACTGCATTCATGCAGAAGAAGGAGGTCCCCAAAGGTCTATATAACTAGAGGTGGTGGTAGAAGCAAAAAGCCTAGCTAATCCATAAATTTGATAATTCACTCTGGAATCATTGTAGGTTTTGTATTTGCATTAGAAACATGTGAATCAGGACCACTAAAGTTCAATACGTTCTGTGCTGAAGGTGAAACAGCACTCACGTGGACTGAGCCATGTTTTATGATGTGCTTTTTTCAGTCTACGGTATAGAATTTCCCTACTAAGGGAGGAATTGCAACTGAAAATAAATTCTGACTGTAAGTTTACCTATGGCAATGAATGATCTGCTTGCAATCATCTTTCTCAAAATTTCCCTTCAGTTCACAGCAACAGACATCTATCAAGCATTTCACTATGCTATTTTTTGGATTCCTGTCGTAAGCAGCTTTTTCTCAATTCAAGACATTGAAAGAAAGTCAAGGGACTAAGGTCTTGGGTTGGGGGAGGCTCAGAGTAGGTATGAAAGGTGGAGGGAGGACATTTGGATCTTATTCTTTGTAGCCCTCTTTCTAATGATCACTGGCAAATTGTTCTCCTGACCAACTCATAGTATTGCCAAATTTTCTTGTTTTTGTCCACAATAAGACATAAATATGCGTGGTGAAAGAGTTATGTACATATAATTTTTGGGGTGCTATTAGTGACACAAAGGGATTACCTTATAGCAGTTCATGACTCGCTGGTTGAGAAGACAGCCACATAAACTGTCAAATGATGGTTAATACAATAATAGGATTTTAAATAATATAAAAGTTAAGTCAGAGTTTAGTGTGGAGAATCAAGTTCTTGACTAAGATTATACTGCTGGTATGCAACAGAGCTGGGATTTAAGATTAGGCCTTTCTGCCTCAGATAACAGTGTTCTTTGCACTTTAAAGCTGTAATACTAAACAATATCATAAATATCAGGA